TAAATACACCATTTTAGAGTGTTCTCTCAACAAATATTTAGAGTATTCTCTAAAAAGAGTATTCTTAGAGTATACTTCTTAAAGTGTTCTCTCAAAAGTGTATTTGAAACAATTAAGTTCAGTGCTGTGTTCATATGCTACATCTGACATCTTGACAGAAACCTCACCAGGGACACAGAAGCTGCGGTGGTGTAAGGGTAGAGGACAACCCACATGAGGAGACTTTAGTCCTCGACGCGGCCGTCACAGGTTCAATTCCAGCCTGATGATCTTTGCTGCATGTCTTCCCTCTCTCACTTTCCTTGCGCTCTTCTGACTGAGAAGATCTGGAAAACGACTCATCTCTGTCCTGCCCCCCTTTAGCCAATTAGTCAATACATTGCTGACTTCAAACCAACCCTGTCTGGCCGGCCCGATTGGAACCGTGGCTTTCAGGGTTCTTGGAAGTGGGATGGAACCGGGTTAATGTAAGAAGTGCTAATGGTTTGCAGTTCAAAAGGACTTAAAGTCCTGGTTGAAATTTGCCACAATGGGATACATGGTACAGGCTGCATTATGTTGTGCGACATTTTTCTTCTGAAGGGACAGAGAAGCTTGTCAGATTTGAGGGAAATGGAGCTAATTACAAGATAACCCTGGAAGATTTGATAAGAGGTTTTTAGAATGCTACAACAAACCCACCAAAATGTATGGTCTGAAAATGTACCACTTGGTTTTGGTGAAACCATCAGCCTGTAGTGTCACAGAAAGATTTTATTCATTTTTTCTTTTCAACTGCTTTGTCTTTAATGTTGTGTATGATGCAAAATGAGTAATTTTAAAAGAAACCTCATGTTGTGTTTGTCTTGTAGCAATGGAGGAGCTAGTGACCGAGCTTCGCCTGTTCCTGGACCTGCTGGACAGAGAATATCTGAGTGCTGGAGTCCGAGAGAAGAAGGTCCACCTCTCCAACATCCTGCACCGTGTGCTTTCAGACAAAGGTGAAATGAAGAGTCTTCATCTTATCTCAAACTTTTCACGTGGGAAGATTCTCCTTACCCAGTTGGAGTTGATCATTTTACAGTTGTCCCTGTTATTCCTGTCATTACTAGTGCTAATGTGAGCTCTTTGATTTTTGCAGAACCTTCATTTAAATCTGAGATCCACAGTGGTTTGCCAGCCCCACCTCAGATGCCCCTGCCAGAGATTCCTCAGCCATGGCTGGTAAGTTTCACATCCTTCAGGTTTGACACTGCATTCACACTGCAGCCTGAAGTGACTTATTTCCGATTGTTTGTCAAATCAGATTTTTTTTTGCCAGGGCCGTTCATACTTCCAAATATATGCCACCCCTGTATGTGTTTTCCAGTGTGAACGGGCAAACAACCTGAAAGTGTCCCACTTGTGCAGTAGAGGGCGCAATAACATCAGCGTTTTCAGTGTTCTGTCAACCGCCACAAAAAAAAAAAGTGCCCAGTGTTTGCGGAAGTAAACATGGTTGCTAACGGTGGAGCTTAGCTTACGATTTTGAAGATGTTGTCCGACCGGAGCAGCATAATAGCAACTTAATCCTCATTATGGTCCGTCATGATTGTTGTTTTTATTCCTGTTTGGGCCTATCAGGGCGCAGAATAGGGACATTTGTTGAATATCTATGACATTCAGGTCAGACGAATGCAACCTGGACGTTAGGTTACATTTGAATCGGATACATATCGGATACCCGAGTGGCCTGGGCCACATTCGAAAAGAGTCCGAGCTGTGCTGTTCAGACTGTCAAAAGGATCAGATACAGGTCGCATTACGTCAAACACAATCAGAATTGGGTCACTTCAGGCTGCAGTGTGAACACAGCCTAAGATCCCATCCACACAGAAACAATTATAAGTGTATCTGCGAAGATTTCTTGTCAATTACGCATCAATCCGATGCTTTGGAAAACCTGAAACAATTATTGTTGAAACTAGGTCCCATGGTGGATAAATTGCAAATGCTGGTTTCATGCTGCATCTTTTTCTCTCTGTCCTGCATGCTCCTCACTATCACAAATGGCAAACATGGTGTCGCTTGTTGGTGTTTTTTTTTTTTTTTGCCTCATTTTCTGGTCATGTTACAGCACCATAGATTGGCCCAGCTTATCTTCTACAGTAATTCCTACAGTGCTGTGTTGTGTTGTGTGGATGTACATTTTTTCTCAATAGTTTACAAAAATTTATTATGTTTTTCTCTGTGTGAACAGGGCCTAAATTTCACATGTAGCTTTTGCTTTGTTTTTCATTTCCAGTATGTGCTTTGTTAGAATGACTTACTGGATGCATTTCCAGTAAACTGGTTGACCAGTAAACTCTGCCATTTTGTTTAGTGAAAACTAACTTTCATGGTTTTAGTGTTGCCAGGGTAACTGGCAACACTAAAACCATGAAAGTTAGTTTTTGTTGCTCTGAATTAAGTTGAACAAACGTTAATGAGGCTTTCCAAACTGCCAGAACACACAAGCACAGGTTTATTTTAGATTTCTAGATACTTGTGAACATCTCTGTATGTTGACAGTGAAGTGGCAGAATTTGTTTGTTTTTTTCTTCATGGATGGAGAGAAAGCTGTTTGGGCAAAACCAAACAGCTCAGTTTTGTAAACTTGTAGTAATATATGGGATGCATAGATATTATGATATATAGCAAAGTAGCTACTATTCATTAAAAAAATAATCATTGTTGTTGTAAATCAAACAGAACTAACTGTCCTAACCTGTGAGTTCCTTAAGGGTCAGTTCCAGTGTTCTGACTATCAGTGCTACCTCATCAGATTTTCCTACCACAGCACGGATAAGTAGCTAAGTCTATCAGTGCTAAGCATCCAAAACTTCTACCATGATGTTTACAAATAGAAAACTATATGTTAAATATATTGACTAACATTATTTGAGTGACGGGACTGAAGTGGAAACTTAGGAGTTATGCTTAGCTTAGTATTGGAACAATTTATGTACATGATGAAACCACAAGATCACTTCCTTCATCTGAATATCCTACCCGTTTAAAATGAAAAGCTTTAGATGTATGCACTAATCCTTTTATTAGAATATCTTACCTTTTAAAAAAATATTTTAAATACAAAGGTGTTTGTAAGAATAAAATGATATCAGACAGGGGAAACATGTTTTTATTGGAATTAAATTAAACACAGACAAATACAGATCACCGCAAAACATGTTGTATGACAGACTTTATTAATTGCAGCGCAGCCACAATGTGTCCACTGAACTGTGCAGGTCACTGTGTACCTGAAATGATAGGATATGATTAATATACACTAACATTACACCACTACACAGCTTCAATCTCACATACTATTTACAAGCTGCCTGTCATGTAAACTAAAAACATGAAGTAATACAGCAGCTTAATGAAAGCCAGGTATAAAATAAATGAAATAAAGCTTAGTGTAATCTGCAATGAAATAAAACACATGAAATTAAACTTCCACATGTAGGACATATTTATAAGAAATCTGCTGAGTAAGCAGTATGTGACGTAGCACCGATGTGTGCATTACCACAAGGTAGGGTGGATTTACTGGTAGCATAGATAAACAGAACACCGGGTATATCATTTGCTTTTTACATGCTTCTTTTAGCGGGCATCTTTAAATCTTTCAATTACATTTCTAATCATTTTTATTCACTTGTATCAGCTTGATGAGCTGTCCAGTCTAGTTTATCGCTTAGTTCAAATTGGTGAGTGACTTTGAAGTAGTTACCTTGTTTTAAGACCATATTTATGTCTTCTCATGAACTACACCTATTTGTGGATCAGTTATGCAGTCACTTATTCACATTTTTCTGTGGAAATTATTCATAGAAATTTAATCTATTCACAAATCTTTTTTTCTTGTAAGGGATTTCAGAACATGCAGCTTGCAAAGCTGAAATACGTAGACTCAATGCTATTTGGCAAGCTATTTGCTGGAGTTTGAGATGCAGCCTATCCAGCAGCGCTATTCATTTTCTTTTACGGATTGGTTGAGCCCCCAAGAGCAGATGGTAGATGTTAATTTATGTGGTAGTGCCAATAGATTCTGTTAAGAGTCCATGCCTCGAATAATCATCACTGTTTTGACAGCAAAATAGGAACAACACACTATTACGCAGGTGGTCATAATGTTGTGCTTGATTGATGAATATAACTACTTGTCAAGCTTAAACATATTTAAAGGTTGTTTCTATAATGGACCAGCTTTACTGGTCCAGAAAAATCTCTAGAAATGAAAACTTTCTGCTGGAAATAGTTTTTGCCTTTTCTAGGTGCTTGCAGTTTCAAAGAAACACAAGGATCCATCTTATCATACAAGAAAATCGAGATTCTTGGAGAAAGTTAACTGAGATACTATTTGTGAAAACATTGAATTTGATACAGAAAACCATAAATCTCAGCTTTGATTTGATAGCTTGTTTCACTTTCCTGGGATAGCAGTTAGTACTCCATCTACCTCAAATCCTCATATGAACTGTTCTGTTGATACTTCATGAGCATGGTGACAGATTTAACTATGCTGCTATGCCTTGGAGCCATGTGTGCTGTCTTTCATATTCCTGTGTAAATCCTTTGGCATGTTTTCCTGTCTGACATCAATTTATGCATAATCATGGCAGTGAGTGACAACATAAGGAGCATACATGACTGTATGCTGACTGACAGACATATATGGCAGATTGTAATTAGAAACAGAGTTCAGTCTCCTCTGGTGACTGTATGTCCGGATGTGAAGGTATTATTCTGTCCAGGAGCAACTGAAGCAAATCTGATCTGGTTGTGATTTTCTTTTCAAATGTAAAAAAGGAAAGACAAAGAAACCACATATTAAGCCATCTATGATATTTGTTCCTTTAACATACTGATTGTGGTGAATAAACATCTAACATTAATTTGGTGTTAGACTAAAGTCTGGAAGTGGAATACCCCAAAATTTCCCTGTCTGTCACTGTGTGTTTAAGGTAATTTCACACATGTGCAGAGTGCACAAGAATAAGTTCATGGAAAAATAGTTCCCCTAAATACTGTTGAATGGAAATCCTCTCCCTGCCAGTTCAGTCTTCTGCTTTGAAATGAGCCACCCTCATGTTTCCACACACAGTCTTGCATAAGCTGCCCTGGCAGAGATAGAACAGCCCTTCTGTCTCCTCCCATCCCAGGTTATAGAAAGTGTTATTAAGCTTTTTGCATGCTACGTGTCCACAACTGGACAAATCATGCTTCAGTCATTGGCAGGGTAAAAGCCTGGAATGGATATTCACCCTATTTACTCTGATAGGCTGAGACATCGAGTAGATTTTAGTAATTAATGACAAAAATTATAAAAAAACAAACTTACAAAAAACTCAGGGAACACAGGGAGCCAGAGCTGAACAAAACAAGAATCCAGGGTAAAAAGACAGCAGGGCCACACAGACAAAAAATGTGACTTAACAGGGAAATAATGGGATTAACCAGCAAGGAGTGAGGGCAGCAGAGGGGTTTAAATTAGGGGTGCACCGATTCATCGACCAGCCAATTTCGCCACTCCAATTTCCTTGATTTTAATAATCACCCGATACTTGCATGTAAAGCCGAGCTCATCCCCCAATCTTGTCTACACCAGCAAAAGTCTAGAAATCAGCCATTGTCCTCTTCTGCTATCTTGTAAAAGAGGTTTGGCTGACAGACTGGCCCACTGGCTAATATCTGCACATTTTCAGTTAACAGTAGTTAACCCCATTATTGCTAACTCAGCAACTTTCATTCTACATTTACCGACATTTCAGGCAAAAAAGATTGGTGTCAGACAAAATCGAAATAATCGGATCACTCTTATTAAAGATCGGTAATTGGCAATCAGCCAGAAAACTGCAGTCGGTGAACTCCTAGTTTAAATACTGAGAGAATGAATGCTGGAACAATATACCTGGACTGATTAGCTAATGGGTTGTGGGTGTAAGGAGATAAAGAGAGAAAATGGCACAGGGTGTACACAACAGGGGAACCAAGAAAACTAATCTGTAAGTAACGAAGAATGACTAGACACAGATAAGAATGAACATCATTAAAGTAGAATCATTAAGAACTGAACTAAGGAAAAACGGAAACAAGGCTGATTTAATCAAAGTGATTTGATTAAATCAGGAACACAAAATAATAATGAAACTAGAAACCAATAAATCAAAACCCCAAAACAACCCACGGTCCCGACA